GTAGGTCCTGTTTGGCATTTTCTTCCAGAACAGGCCTTATTACACTGTGTATGCCACTACGATTCTTAAATCTCTCAAACCAACCTTTGCTGGCTTTAAATTCACCAATATGAGGACTAGTTCCAGGCGTTTTTCCCTGTTCACCTGGATGTTAGTCGACTGGTGTGCGTTGCATCCTGGGAGAGAAGATTAAGGACCCCAATGGAAATAAGTTAGAGAGTCCTCGATGATGCACTGACTTTCTTGGGTTATCCTGGGTGGCTAACCCTCCGGGGTTAATCGTTTCTCGGTAATTGTTTCACGTTAAGCCACACCAACAACACTCTCTCTCCACATCTTCGAGTAATACAGCTGATGGTGGTGCAGCAACAACAACAGCTGTGGTGCAGCTGACCATGGTGCAGCAGCAGCTGGGTGCAGCAACAGCTGACCATGGTGCAGCTGCAGCTGTGGTGCAGCAGCAGTTGTGGTGCAACAGCTGACCATGGTGCAGCTGTGGTGCAGCAGCAGCTGTGGTGCAGCAACAGTTGTGGTGCAGCTGACCATGGTGCAGCAGCAGCTGTGGTGCAGCAACAGCTGACCATGGTGCAGCTGTGGTGCAGCAGCAGCTGTGGTGCAGCAACAGCTGACTGGTCCAATTTATCAGCTGACCGTGGTACGATAGTATTTATCACCCTTTTTACCACAGGGTTGGCACTAGAAGCTATCTTTGGGCCCATGGTGGCTTATTTAGCAGTTACAAGCACTATATATAATGGAATAATACAAAATGTATCGAATATATGCATGCAACCGGCCACCCTGGCTAGTAAACAATGACGGCAAGGCAGGCGCTCAGGCTGGACAGACAGGTTTGGGACAGGTTTGGGATAAGTCATGTTCAGAAACAGCTGATGGTGGTGCAACAGCAGCTGACTGTGGTGCAGCAGCAGCTGACTGATCCAGCAACAGCTGACTGGTCCAGCAACAGCTGACTGATCCAGCAACAGCTGACTGATCCAGCAACAGCTGACTGATCCAGCAACAGCTGACTGGTCCAGCAACAGCTGACTGATCTAGCAACAGCTGACTGATCCAGCAACAGCTGACTGATCCAGCAACAGCTGACTGGTCCAGCAACAGCTGACTGGTCCAGCAACAGCTGACTGATCCAGCAACAGCTGACTGATCCAGCAACAGCTGACTGATCCAGCAACAGCTGACTGGTCCAGCAACAGTTGACTGATCCAGCAACAGCTGACTGATCCAGCAACAGCTGACTGATCTAGCAACAGCTGACTAGTCCAGCAACAGCTGATCATGGTGCAGCAGCAGCTGACTGATCCAGCAACAGCTGACTGGTCCAGCAACAGCTGATTGTGGTGCAGCAGCATCTGACTGATTCAGCAACAGCTGACTGGTCCAACAACAGCTGATCGTGGTGCAGAAGCAGCTGACTGATCCAGCAACAGCTGACTGGTCCAGCAACAGCTGATCGAGGTGCAACAGCAGCTGACTGATCCAGCAACAGCTGACTGGCCAAACAACAGCTGACTGTGGTATGATAGTATTTCTCACCCTTTTTACCACTGGGTTAGCACTAGAGGCTTTCTTGGGGCCCATGGTCACTTATTTTGCAGATGAAATCACCAAAAACGCTGTAATAATACGAAATGTTCCGATTGTATGCTTGGATGTTACCACGGAGGCTGGCTTGTAAACAATGCCACCGGCGGAACATGTGAAGCTGGCTCAGGCCGCACATTAGAAGCGTCTCGGACGAATAGCGTTGAGCGAGTTTTTTAGCGGTATGCGAGGCAAAATTTTAGTGATAAAATGTATCGGTATGCGGATTTAACGTTATGTGATGCCAACGGTATGTGAGGGTCCACTGTACATTAAAATTAGATTTCCGGAGGATTACTATTATTACCCCAACCTCTCTGTCCAAAGTTGTTATGCTCTAACCAGAAAGAAACTGAGTGGTTACAACCCTTGGAGTGTAACACACTTAATTATTGTATTCCTTTGTACTTCTCTGTATCATGTTCAAATTAATAAATAAATAAATAAATAAATACAGTTACTCTACCAGGACAGCACCTCCAGCCTCACCATTACTGTCTACCAGGACAGCACTTCCAGCCCCACAGTTACTGTCTACCAGTGCAGCACCTCCAGCCTTACAGTTTCTGACTACATGGCCAGCACCTCCAGTCATACAGTTACTGTCGGCCAGGACAGCATCCGCACCAAGGGCGATACCATCAAGCCCAGACTTTTTATTTTCCCATCTATTATAGAATACTTCCAGGTTTTCTATGAAGGCTGCTTTGATGTTATCTTCTTTTAATACCAATGTGATTTTAGTCCACAGAATGATCTCATTTGGGCATACCCAAAAACACTTCCGTGATTTAATACCGGTTGTAGATAATTCTTGGATATCGGCACAAGGGGCGTGACACCAATTTCCACAAAAGTGGCATGTAATCCATTGTATGTAATCCATGCTTTGACTTACGAATAATTTGAGTTTCAGCTGAGCTTCTGGAATGGATTATGGCTGAAACTCAAGGTTCTACTGTATGTGATAGGTAAACAAGTAAAAATGTCATAGCGGCATGAATATGTACATTTTATATCATCATAAATGACATGCTTTTTGTGTCATGGCAACTCCATCACTTTTGATACTCTTTTCCCCTGGCCTCTCTTTGTCTGCCTTAGCGTCTCCACTTTGTAATGAAGCCAAATAGCGACTTTAATATATTAGAAAGAAATATAAAAAAGGGAAAAAATGGTGAAAATTCACTTCATGCTCAAAAATGTATTACGTGCTGACTCATCACAAGAAATGTTGTGGTGACTATAATTTGTTGTAGGAACATTGTACATACAAAAGAGTTACACCAAAATGTTGCCAGACTGTTGAACTATTTTTCTGTAAGATTAACTCATTTTTTTTTTTAAATTCATATTTATTCAAATTCATTTTTATTTCTAGGTGTAGCTACAGTGAGAGTAACAGGTAGATGGGATACAAGGAAAATAGAAGCAGCAAGTAAGAGAGAGGTGAAGGTGTACATACTAAACGAGGAGGCAGTTAGGGTAAGATATAAACAACTATTGGAGGATAGATGGGCTAGTGAGTGTATTGGCAATGGGGTCGAAGATGTATGGGGTAGGTTTAAGAATGTAGTGTTCGAGTGTTCATCAGAAGTTTGTGGTTACAGGAAAGCGGGAGCGGGAAGGAAGAAGAGCGATTGGTGGAATGATGATGTGAAGGGAGAAAAAGTTAGCATATGAGAGGTTTTTACAAAGTAGAAGTGATACAAGGAGGGAAGAAAGGTTAAGAGAGTGGTGAAGCAATGTATTATTATTATTATTATAATCAAAGCGCTAAGCCACAAGGGCTATACAGTGCTGCAGGGTAGGGAAGGAAGCGAGGGTATTGGATGGCAGAAGGAAGGAAGGATGATCAGTAGGTTACAGAAAACAGCGGGGCAGGGGATAGTACGGGGGTAGAGGGTAGCAAGAGATTGAAGTAGAAAGGGCTGAAGGTATCAGAATTTGTGAAGTAAGTCGGTTGTTGTCAAAAAGTCAATGAGAGAGTCTGGATGAAAGGTGGGTCCATCAGCGAGAAGGGAAGGTAGAGAGAGAGCAGCAGAGTGAAGACGACGACGGAGGTAAATTCTGCGTGCTTGTTGATAAAGTGGGCAGTCCAACAGAATGTGGCCGACTGATAATGGAACTTGGTAATTCTCACAGAGAGGCGCAGGGCGCCTCTCCATGAGATATCCATGAGTAAGACGAGTATGGCAAATGCGAAGACGGGAGAGAGTAGTCTCCCAACCTCGACACTGGTGATAAGAAGACAGCCAGTAACCTATACTCGGTTTAATAGATTGAAGTTTGTTGCCGAGCATAGTAGACCAACGTTGTTGCCAACGGGTGTGAAGCTGGGAAGATATTGCAGCAAAATAGTCCGTAAATGGAATACCTCTACATGAAACTGGTAGGTCATGTACTGTTGACCGCGCAGCAGTGTCTGCCTGTTCATTACCCAGTACGTCAACATGACCAGGGACCCAACAAAAAACAATATCTTTATGTTTGGTAAAGATGCGGCGTAGCCAAAGTTGGATACGGAGGAGTAAGGGGTGAGGTGTATCAAATTTCTGTATAGCCTGTAAAGCACTAAGGGAGTCTGAGACAACCACAAATGATGACACAGGCATAGATGCAATATGGGTAAGTGCTGTAAGGATGGCATACAATTCAGCAGTAAAAATACTAGCCGAAGATAGTAAATGCCCTTGTACGACGCTGTCCGGAAACACTGCTGCGAATCCTACGCCTTCAGAAGACTTAGAGCCATCTGTGTACACAGCAATGGCATGAGAATGAGAGTGAAAGTGGTCAAGAAAAAGAGAGCGGGAAGCGACCTAGACAGTTGGGCTTTCGAGCAAGGGAGAGAGAAAGAACAGACTCGAACAGCGGAACTTCCCCCGG